CACATAAAAAAAATTACTTGTTTAGCGTCCCCGCCCGACCTGATAAAAGTCCCCGACCTCCAATTTTTTTTTTTTTTTTTTTTTAATTTGTCCGAGTTTAGTGGAAAAACTCTATAAAAAAGACCGTTTTACTTGACAAAATGGTGATTTTATTCTTCTGGGAGCTATGTAATACGTTTACACAAAGTTTCCTTCCCAGAATATGCCTGTTCGCAGCTAAAGTGTTCGCGCGTGACCGCCAAACGGTAATTTTCTGTTTTATTAAAAACATGAACGGGAAGTTAAAAAACATGAACGGATTTTGAAAGAATTAAAGTGAGTTTTGACTGTAGTAATATACTGGATTTCCTGCATTTAGCAGAATTTTGTGTTGCATTTTAGGAAAAAAAAAAAAAAATCCGTCCGCCCGACCTAGAAAAATTAAAATGGGTGGACGCTAAACAAGTAATTTTTTTATGTGGCCTAATGTTGACATTAATATTATCATATTTTATCGAATGTTGACATTAATATTATCATAGGTCTAGCTAGATGCACTGAAGTTAGGGTTGAGAATTTATATGAAAGCATTTTTATCCTTGTTGTAGAACTTCTTTTTTGTATTTTGCATTTATATTGTCCATAGGCATAGAATTATAACATGCAAATCAATGTGTACTGAACAGTCAATAATATTGCCCGGAGGTGGGGATATAGACCCAATTTTTTTGCCCAGGGGTGGGGCTTTAGCACAGTTCTTCTTCCCTGGGGTGGGGACATAGCCATTTTCTTTCCAGAAATGGCTAATTCCGGGGGCACCGCTGGAATTGACTGATACATTATTTTATATACTATTATCATGCCAACTATGCAGAACCTGTTGTGGGATACTGAATGATATTTTTATCAATGAAATTATTTGAGGGCCATGAAAGTGTTTCAATAAGCCCCGTTTACACGAGCAAATTCTATTTGACAAATTTCATATGTGAAACATATTTTGCTCGTGTAGTCTGTACTGTAGATGATACATTTGTAACAAATTTATTGTGACAAATGCATTTGAACAAAAGCTAGCATGCTAGCTTTTGATCAAATGCATTTGATCAAATGAAATTTGTCAAATAAAATTTGCTCGTGTATTTAAAATGCAACATGCGCGCCTTTGACAATTGATAAATTGTGACAAATTTAATATGCTGATCGATATTAAAAACAGTTTATACACAATACCAGATACGCTTCTCATAACATTGAATTTTGCAGTTTCAGAAATCTCTTACCTCCTATATATTGCAATTGTATTTCAAAATAGTAAAATACCATGAAAAGTGTAAAACACATGCTGTCGTGGATGTCAAATGCTCAAACTAAAAGCGAAATCGCTATTGACGTAGTATAAACTATACTGGTGCCTATATGACTACTAAACAATACGTAAGTTAATACACATACACATAGAGTAATACACAAAAAACACTCACTAAATATCCAGCTAATATGCAGGTCTTTGGTTTGAAAGGTCTCTGGCCACGTTTTTGATTAATATACAATTTTAAAACAACTTCACTGCACGCGACGACTGTCTGACACTGTCAGGGCGGTTACAGTAATATATCTTTTAATATTATACGAGTTATGACTCTGTGACTTGGTAAACAAAAATTCCTTGTCTAATTCCTTGAAAAGTTTCAATTTTCCTCAAAGGAATGGGTAGGGATAAAACCACTGTATAAAACACTGAATCGCGGAAACGGAAACTGAAAGCGGTAACTGAAATGGGGACAAGATAAAACGCTGAAATGGGGATAAAACGCTGAAATGGGGATAAAACACTGAAATGGGGAAATTTAATCGAATTCGTTGTTTGCTAGACCATTGCGAACACAAGTAATTTCCCTATAAAACTGAATAAATATAATGCACCTATCAATGTTTAGCCGGAGGGGGCAGGGGGCGGGCGAAGGTGGGGGATTTGAATTTCAGACAAGTTTTTTTGTCAAACATCCCATACTACACAAGTTCTACTGCTTCAAATGTGTCTAAATGCCCCTATATACTGGAAGGTTTTCTTGTTCAAATACCCGCACCAACACTCGACGATTTTAAATTTTAATTTTTTAGTTTACATGTAACATGTTCAAAGGTATTATATAGAACTCTTTATTAATATAAACGAAAATGGTAAACAATTTGTACATGTTCAGTGTGTTCGATCATGAGCGAAAACGTCAAAACGAACGTGAATTTGTTTTATACCTTGGGTGGGTGGTTAGTTCCGCCATCTTGCAAAAAACCTCGTGCTCTCAGATTTGGTGACCAGACTTCTGCACCAACAAGTGATCAAATGTCCCCTCATGTCCCCACAGATCACAGCATCTTGTCAAATGTCCCCAACCTCAGGCTTGTGTCAGTGAGCTAATGCCCGACCCTGGGGATGGCATTTGTTGTCAAATCCCCCCCCTTCGCCCGCCCTCCCCCACCCCCCTCCGGCTTTACATTGATAGGTGCATAAGAAAGAAGTTCCCGGTAAAATGACAACCACGTTGTTGGCGAAGAACGAATTTTATCTGACAGTTTATCTTATATTTATTTATTTATTTACTTTGCCATCATACTTATACATTCATTGGCTGGGAAACCACAACAGCTATTGCCATGCTCAACATTTTGTGATAGCATACATTATACTGTCTTGACACCGCCATATGGCTGGTATTTTGGGTGTAAAACCGGTGTCGTGTACATTTGGAGGCCCCTCATTTGAGTTGCCTCAAGATGAAGCAGCCATATTTTAACCCTGCATGCGTAACTGTACCAAATTGGCTGCCCCATTATTTAACACCAGGTTCATGTGCGCTTTTTACGAGAGTGTGGTGGCAAATTTGACGTGGCATGCATGATGTCGATATTGTTTTGGTTTTTAGTTTGTTCAGTCATAACGCCATAACCTCGAAGGTAGCTCCCTTCAGTTTGTATTTGGTATCGCTAAAAGTTTGCATGCAAGTATGAACCTCGAGGAATTCGAAATTTCCATCTTTGGGCGTTGTTTCCTGTTTCCTGTCATAGAGAAGTGTGGGTTCTACACGGCCAAAAACGCTGAGCCTGCTGTATTGCCTGTACTGTATTGCCTGTACAACAGGTTGCAACAATATTATGCTTACCTATTTTTTACAGTTAAAGGGTATGAGCAACAAAAAATTGTATTGCTTCATCTGAAAGAGCTTGAAAAAAATAAGCCGATTAGCCGTTTAATGCTCTATCTCATCTGGTTCCGAAGTTATACGCAAAAATGTGCACAAAATATAAATTGCTGATTCAGCACAACGTGTGACGTCATTAGTTGGGTAAGTGATGTTTATTGAATAGTAAACTGAAGCATAGCTCAGTTATTATGGGCCCAAATCAAATGACATTTTTCATACAGATAGTACATGATGAGACGCATAGGAAAATACTTCTAATTTTGTTGTCAAGGCAACACAGTCGTTCCCAGGCCCCTTACACTGATTTTGAATAACTAGTTGCAATAATCTATGTGTATGTCATTTTCGAATTATTATCATGCAAGTAAACTTTTGGCATGCATAGGTATGGTACACATACTATGATATTATTTTATTCTTATAAGTACCATGAATATAATTGGCGCAAGGGGCCTGGGAACGACATTGTTACCTTGGCAACAGAATTAGAAGTGTTTTTCAATGCGTCTCATCATGTACAATCAGTATGCAAAATTTCATTTGATTTGGACCCATAATAAGTAACTGAGCTATGCTTCAGTTTAGTATTCATTAAACATACATACCCAACTAATGACGTCACAAGTTGGGCTGAATCAGCAAATTATATTTTGCACATTTTTGCGTATAACTTCGGAACTAGATGAGATAGTGTTATATATTGATTATATGAAGTACTGGATACAGACGCATGCGCAAGGGAGTCTCGATAGAGAGTTGAGAGGGCGAGGAGTTCTTTTTAGAAATAGTCGTTATTACACATATTTGGAGATTAAAGGTTATTTTGGGCATTCAATCCTTACTCGGCTACACGAGAAATACATTACAAATTGGCGACGAGGATTAAAATTACATGGCACAGCAAAATAATACGTACTTCGGCGTTCTGGAACCTTTCGATGGCGGGGATTTTATAGATTACAGTGAGAGACTGAATGCATATTTTATTGCAAATAACATTGGCCAAGTCGCAGCAGATGCAAATGAAGCTGCAAAACAAGCTGCAGACAAAAGGAAAGTCGCCGTAACTACTTCGGTGATGGGGAAAAGCACATACAGTACATTGAAAGATCTCTGCCTCCCTGATTTACCAGCTGAAAAGTCGTACGAAGAAATTATTACAATACTCAAAGGATTTTACAAACCGAAAGTACTCGAAGTCGCAGAGACATACCGATTTCATCAAGCAGTTCAAACGGAAAGCGAAAGTGTAGCTCAATATGCAAACTGAAACGTTTAGCTGTTCATTGCAATTTTGGCACCTATCTTACAAGGGCATTACGAGATCAATTTGTTGGGGGCGTTCGAAGTAGAAGTACTAGAAAGAAACTTCTTTCTGAAGACAGGACATTTGATCAAGCAGTAAAGGTTGCCCAAGCGGATGAGCTAGCAGAGAAAGAATCGAAAGAAATGCTTCTCAGTGCTGAAAGAACGGACACCACACAAGCCCACAGTATATCAAACAAGAGGAAATATCATTTCAAAGGCGGGGATGCAAACAAGGCAAAACCTTTTGAGCAAGGGAAAACTTGTTTCAGATGTGGATCTACACAACATTTGGCAGACAAGTGCAGCCATACCTATACAACATGTAACTATTGTAAAAAGGCGGGACACTTGGCAAAAGTATGTTTCAAGAAAAAGAAGGCAGATAGCAATGCCAAGGCACATAACATTGTAGCAACACATACTGATGAATCTAGTGACAGTGACAGTGATATGAATTCTGTCAACGGTACACCAGTAACTATTTTTATGCAGAATATAAATTCTGTGGGACAGAAATCAGAAATATCGCCACAATACAAATTGGGAGTGAATATTAATGGTCAAGAAGTCTCCATGGAAATTGACACTGGAAGTTCAGTAACATTATTAAATTCTGGTGATTTTGAAAGAATGGGTGGTGACACAAATGTTTTGAAACCTTCTACAGTGGTACTTAAAAGTTATACGGGAAATGAAATCAAGTGCTATGGAGAAGACAACATGAAAGTCAAAGTGGGAGAACAAGTAAGTGACATAAAAATTCGAGTGGTTGAAGGACCATCACTACTAGGACGTGATATTATGACTAAATTTAGACTACCGTGGCACAACATTTTCAGTATTGTTCCTACCACTGCAGAGGATATTATACAACAATATCATGAACTGTTCGATGAAAGAAGAGTAGGAAAACTGAAGGGGGTACAAGTGTCATTAAGAGTAAATGATGATAACCCTGTGTTTATGAAACCCAGAGTGGTACCTTTTGCAATTCGGAAAAAATATGAAGAAGCATTAGAGAAACTAGTCCAGGGTGATATTATTGAAAAAGTAGAGCACTCGGAGTGGGCTTCACCGACGGTTCCTATGATTAAGCCTGATGGCAATGTAAGGATCTGTGGAGATTATTCTGGAACAAATAAACAGGCAGCTACATTAGAACAATATCCAGTACCTACATTTGAAGAGTTACTAAGCAACCTTTCAGGGGGAACGAAATTTACGAAACTTGATCTTTCACAGGCATACCATCCATTAGAACTCACCCTTGAAAGTAGGAAGTACACAACAATAAATACGCATCATGGGTTATGCCAGTACAAACGATTAATTTTTGGGGTAAACAGTGCGGTGTCCATCTTCCAACGTACCATAGAAAATGTACTCAAAGGTCTTCCAGGATGCTGCGTTCGGATTGATGATATTTTGGTAACAGGGAAAACTGATGAGATTCATATGGAGAATTTGCATCGTGTTCTGCAAAGATTACTAGAGAGCGGGCTTAAACTCAAGCGTGAGAAATTCCATTTCATGCTCGGGGAAGTTATTTATTTGGGAATGTCAATCTCGGAAGCCGGCATTTCACCAACAGAGGAGGAAGTGCAAGCCATCAAAGATGCCGCACCTCCGGCAAACGTTTCTGAGTTGCAATCTTTTATTGGTACAGCAAATTTCCTGCGTAAGTTTGTGCGAGGGTTCGCAGAAATTATGACACCTTTGTACAAATTACTTCGGAAAGGAACTCCATGGAAATGGAGTAAAACTGAACAGGAAGCATTTACCACTATCAAGTCGGCATTGTGTTGAGTTTGTGTTCGGATTCTATATTAAGACATTACGACCCAGCTGCTGAGTTGGTACTCTAGTGTGATGCATCTTCTATAGGAGTTGGAGCTGTACTGCTCCAGCCTGGTCATGATGGCGCATTACAACCAGTAGCATACGCTTCTAGAACTCTTAATGCAGCTGAGAAAAATTACGCTCAAATTGAACGTGAATCGTTAGCAATTGTATTTGGAGTTACAAAATTCCGTCAGTATTTACTTGGCAGACATTTTAAACTCCTAACAGATCATAAACCGTTGATAACCTTACTGGGGGAACATAAGTCAGTTCCACAGTTAGCGTCGGCACGGATTAAGAGATGGTCCCTTCTTCTGGCAGCATACAACTACACGATTGAGTTTATTTCTGGAAAAGAAAATGTCTATGCAGACTTTCTTTCAAGGAAACCTATTAACATACAACCAACTCCGGAGGAACAGGTAGAGGTTAGAGTCATGTTTATTGAAGGAGAACAAATTGTTAATTCCACAATGGTTGCCATGGAAACTAAGAAAGATCCAGTCTTAAGTAACGTACTAGATTTTACGAAGAATGGGTGGCCAGAAAAACCACAACCTGAATTACAACTTTATCATACTAGGCGATTAGAATTATCACATGAAGATGGAATTTTGTTATGGGACACTCGAGTTGCAATTCCAGAATCATTACGCGATATTCTACTGAAGGATTTACATGCCGAACATTTCGGAATAGTGAAGATGAAACAATTGGCGCGTAAATACCTATGGTGGCCTAAACTTGACAAAGAAATCGAAGAAACAGTTAAGTCTTGTATGGCATGTCAGGAAGAAGCCAAATCACCAAATGCATCTCAACAAGCATCATGGTCTTGGCCTGGAGGCCCTTGGAAGCGTATTCATATAGATTACGCAGGTCCATATCTAGGGAAAATGTTCTTAGTCGTTGTCGACGCCTATTCCAAGTATCTTGAGATTGTCCCAATGTCTAATGCTACTTCAACTACCACCATAACAGCTTTACGACATATTTTCAGCAATTTTGGACTACTTGAACACATTGTTTCAGATAATGGTAGCCAATTTACCAGTGAGGAGTTTCAGAAATTTCTGAACGATAACAATATTCAACATACTACAACCGCTCCAGGACATCCTGCAACGAATGGATTGGCAGAAAGGTATGTGGGAAATTTTAAAGATAAACTAAAGAAAATGGGGGACACAGGAAAGCCATTGCAGACAAAACTAGACCGGTTTTTGCTGACGTACAGAGCTACCCCTACAGGTTTAGGAAAGTCACCATCAGAGTTGCTAATGAACAGGCAACCACGGATCCGATTGAGTGCGCTTAGGGCGAAACAATCGAAAAATGAAGTCAAAATATTTCAAGATAATCTAGATAATCAACCAAAGTACAGTCAAAATCAAGCAGTATTCGCACGAAATTTTGGCAAAGGAGCACGATGGCTTCCAGGGGTTATAGTAAAGATAATTAGTCCTAGAAATTATGACGTGAAAGTGGGGGATGTTATGTGGAAACGACATGAAGAGCAATTGCGTCCACGACACATACCTAGTTTTGAAAACGCGGAACAAGCGAAGTCCGAGATGGAACAAAATTTGTTCCCAGAAACGAAGACAGAAACAAACAAAAGAGAAACGATTCCTGCACACACGGAGGATAGGGTACCTGCAGTACCAAGTGGGGTTACGAACGAGTTCGATACGTTCACCCCAGTTAACACGAAAAGTAAAGATCGGGACTGTGGGGAACTTACTAGTAAAATGGACTCACTTATTAACGTTACACCAAGCGAGTCCACAAGAAGGTATCCTTTACGCGAGCGTAAACCTCCTAAAAGGTTTACTGAATAGTAAAAACATTTTGAACTTAGGTAGATTGTTGTGTTATGTTACGGGTTTAACGTTTACAGTGCAGGGACACTTAAAGAGGGGGCAGTTGTTATATATTGATTATATGAAGTACTGTGTATAGACGCATGCGCGAGAGAGTCTCGAGAGAGAGTTGAGAGGGCGAGGAGTTCTTTTTAGAAATAGTCGTTATTACACTTATTTGGAGATTAAAGGTTATTTAGGCATTCAATCCTTACTCGGCTACACGAGAAATACATTACAGTAATGATAATAATAATGACATAAGACACGATGATAATAATATAGTCGACAAAGATATTTCTGATAGTCCAGCACGCTGCACCTCGAAGAAAAGTCCAAAAATTCCTTTCCAAATTAATAAATCTTATCCAAAACTAAAGGGTTTTAAAATTGGCCACTTAAACATAACTAGTTTGCCGAGACACATGGATGAGCTTAAATTATTCATGAAGGAAATATCATTCGATATTCTTTGCATAAACGAAACTAGATTATACAACACAATAAACGACAATATTATTAAGATACCAGGTTATGATATTGTAAGACGAGACCGAGATCGAAATGGTGGCGGTGTAGCAATTTATATAAGAAGTATCATTAGTTATAAAAACCATATCGAATTCATTCCAGACAACTTAGAATCTATTTGTCTCGAAATTCAAAAACCTAAGTGAAAACCACTCTTAACTGTTACATGGTATCGCCCACCAAATTCTAATACTTGCATATTAAACAATTTCGAAACGTTACTGCGAAAACTAGATGATACAAACATTGATATTATTATCACTGGCGACCTAAATTACGATATGGTGGCAAAATACCCCACCCATCATACAAAATGGTTATCCGATCTGATAAATGAGTTTCAGCCAAAGCAACACATTGCAAGTCCGACTAGAATAACGCCAACATATGCCAAAATTATTGACTCTGGAGTGATACATTCAGGTCTAAGCGATCACAGTTTAGTGTACATTTGTCGCAAAGCTAGTAGGAATACCAAGGGCCGAACCAAAAATTGTAGAAACAAGACAGTTTAAATACTTTAATTCATCTGCATTTCAATACGACCTAAAAATGGCATTTCAAAGACACTACAACCTCTATAATTATACCGACCCAAATCATTCGTGGGAGGTATGGAAAACTATTTTTCTTGACATTGCAAATATGCATACTCCACTTCGGATTCGGAAAGTCCAAAGTGAGCACTGTCCTTGGATGACAAACGAAATAAAAAACCTTGCGTATCATAAATTATACTTGAAACAAAAAGCAGTCAAACTTTACTCCTCTAATAGGCCCTTTCAAGGTTTATTCCGCCATATTGCCGGAGGTGCAAAACATTGGGGCGAGCGCGCGGCCAAGCCATGGCTGCCATATATTTTACTAATGAGTGAGCGATAATTTTTTGTGGACGTTTTGTTGATTTTCTCATGCTATATTAAAAGATAGTCCAAACTTTTGTATTCTGGCTGATCTGTGTGTATTTTTAAAGTACTGGTAAAGATTTCAATGGAATCTGATTGGGGAAAATGCGTAAATATGTTGATTTCTGCGACACCTTTCGGCGAGCTGTTTACAGTGGATTTACGACAACGAAACGGCGAAAACAGGGCTTTTACGCTACCTCCTCCGCAGGCCTTTCGATGCGGGCGGGAATAATTTGCGGGCGTGAAATTTGAGATCAGGGAAGAACGGAAGGCGACGAAAGGCCTGCTGAATAATAGTCGGTTCCTGGGCAGAAGTGACGTTTCCCGGGTATCGGTTTTCAATCCTTAAAAATCTTCGTGAAATATGAACCATCCTATCCCAAAACTATTGTCCCGTGTATGGTAGAGTATTTGTGATACTTCAGGGCAGTCATGGCCGAAAGCAGCGACGAACAGAGGGAAAAATCGAGGATTTCGACGATGTTGACGTTCTTAATAATATGTCATTCTGTGAAATGGAAATATGTATGTATTTTACCTGATTAAATATCATGTAGATCATTGACGCGTTTTATAATGCAATTCATAACAAGCAGTCGTAACACAATGATATCGATCGCTATGAACAGGACACGCTTGAATAACGCCATATGTTGACAATTAAGATGTTGTGCTCATCGTTCGACGGCAGCGATGTGGATACTCTCAATATATCGTTTTCTGAAATGGACTTGGTATGTAGATTTTTGTGGTAATGGAGATTCTACATGCAGACATTGTGTTATTATACTCAAAAGACAAAGAACAAGCGAACAGTGAGACGCTATATTACTTCTATTTACATTGTAAATGTATATTTTTAATATGCAAATATAATTTCACCATATTTATCTTTCAAATTGTGCTTTTAATGTTTCATGCAGACTGATATTTGAATCTTATCTAAAGTATTTGGAATGGCTTATCATAGGCTTAATCGCAAAATATGTAGAAAGCGGATATAATATCGTTGATGTTGTATTTGCATTGGCATAATTTGTATAAACACTTTATATTAGACAGTCTCCATCGTCATAGAAAAGCGGCGGCTAGTTATAAGTACTTTTTAGTCTGCCAAGACCACTGGATGCTATTTCTAAATATTATTTAGATCTATTAGATCAGTGCTGGTATGTATATTGTATATTAAGTCATAATAGTAAAGTCAAAATGAAAATTTCGATTTATAGCATACGCCATCTTGAAAGCATTACTCGGCAGGCGCTCTCGCCTGCAACCCGCATTTTCCGAACCTGCCCGAAATGCACCCTAAGCGCCTGCGGAGGAGGTAGGCTTTTACGTCTGTGTTTGTTTAAACAAAACAACATTACAAAAGAATCATGTTTAAAAACAATACAACAAAGCTGTCGGGAAAGAAGAAAGACGTCCAGGTGCGAGAGTGTAACCTGATACCAATGTCAATCTCACCTTTATATCACATGGGTATAAGAGATAAACTTATAAAAGTAAGCGAATCCAAAGGGTATATTTTGAGAGATATGGAGAATTTGAGTTGTTTATATTTTATGTTCTCATAGAAGATTATATTGCAAATAGTCATTTTACTTTGGCTGTTTATGGCAACAAAGGAGAAGCTTGAATACGAGGATTTCGTTTGGTTGAGTCCGGTTGACAGAGTGGGAAAAGGTTGAACTTGTGGCAAGAGCATTTAAAGCGTATGAATTGGTGCTCCAAAGAAATTAATTAAATTAAATTAATTAAAAAGAAATACCACCAAAGGCTACAAACTAATGATATTATTAAGAGCGATCCTAACACTCTCTGCAATGAATATTAGAAAGATGACATTCAAACATGGCCACATCTTGATGATGGAATGCTACATTCTATGAGTAAAGGCAGTGGATGTTGAATATATTAGCAAATACAAATATGAGAGGGCCTACTCATATTGGATGATTGGATTTGTTGATATAATTTATGTTAACATAAATTGCCAATTCAGCAATTGCCAAATGCCCCATTGACAAGACCATGACATTTTTTGTAAAGCTCAGTATGTCCATTACAAAGGATTTGTGATGGATCACATATAAAAGTGTGGATGTGTGTCCTTGAACAGCTGGAACAGTTGAGGCATGTAATCATGTACTTGTAGTCCTCGGCTCTATATGTATAAGATCAACTATGCTTACAACAAGCAATATATTTCCCCTGCCTGTGCGCCTGTACCAGTGTTCCCCAAGGATGGAACAAAGGAACATGAAAACAAGTAAATCCAAGCAAGGTTAAAAATTTAATATTTAGACCAAACTCGGCTGGCTGCGATTAAACATTGAGGAAAGAATTTGACCCCAGAAAACCTGAGAACAGAAATATTACCAATGAAAGAGTTTCTTTATCATTTATTTATTTAGTTTTAATTTTTTTCCCTTATGTACAGTTCCATAGACATTATTTACATATTTTTCCTTATTTTAATTTAGGCAAAAGACCTATACTAGATACTTTGTCAGGCTTTTTGCTTTAGGCCCCTAGTTAAGGTTTATAGTTAACTGTCAGATTTATAATATATTATTCTATTTTACAGTCAAATCAGAGAGAGAATTTTCAGAGTTATAGAGGAACAATAATATGCAAATAGAATACTATGCAAATAGAATGTTTTCATAAAAAAATGCTGCTTAATTTGTTTTTTGAAGATGTATTGAGAGTTTATGTCTTTATTTTTTATTCTAGTGAGTTCCATACATCAACTCCGTTATTTAGAGAGAATATGTCTTACATAATTTGTTCTTTTATACCGCTTGTGAAGTTTTTATACCACTTTGATGAATTTGATTGATAGTCACACAAATTTATCAAAACTTCAGGCAAGTTTTTAAGATTATTGAACAGCATTGTAGATACTGTTCCTTCTGCATGTGTTTTGCTTTCATGCAGTAGGCTATGGGGGTGGTTCTGACAATGAGAACAACTGAAACTATCAATAACTCTCGATATTATATACCCTTTGGATTCGCCTACTTTTAGAAGTTTATCTCTTATATCTAATTACTAATAGTATGTCATATAATTAAAGGTGAGATTGACATTGGTATCAGGTTACATTCTCGCACCTGGACGTCTTTCTTCTTTCCCGACAGCTTTGTTGTATTGTTTTTAAACATAATTCTTTTGTAATGTTGTTTTGTTTAAACAAACAGAGACGTAAAAGCCCTGTTTTCGGCGTTTAGTTGTCGAGAATCCATTGTAAACAGCTCGCCGAAAGGTGTCGAAGAAATTAGCATATTCATGATTTTCCCCCAATCAGATCCCATTGAAATCTTTACCAGTAGTTTAAAAATACACACAGATCAGCCAGAATACAAAAGTTTGGACTATCTTTTAATATAGCATGAGAAAATCAACAAAACGTCCACACAAAATTATCGCTCACTCATTAGTAAAATATATGGCAGCCATGGCTTGGCCGCGCGCTCGCCCCAATGTTTTGCAACCCCGGCAATATGGCGGAATAAACCTTGAAAGGGCCTATTA